GAAATTCAAACGCTGTTTTTCTTGCCACAAGCCCTATAAACTCTTCACTTGTTCTCATTACAACTATTTTACATAAAGTATCTAAAGGTAGTAGAAAACAACTTGCTTTTAATTGGGTGTATCATATGCTTGACAAGTAAGTGTTCAATAATTATAACGCCAATTGGCTGACTGGCTGGCTCCCTGAACATAAGCCTGTGATTCTAAGAAAGGTGATTCTCTTGCTGCCGCCCACCAGGCCAGATTTATTCCTGACTGTGGTTTTTCTCACCCTGCCCTCCTCGTTTGCATGATCCTATTCTTTCTTCCCCTCTTCTTTCCTCCAACTGCTTCTTCCAATCCTGCACATCCATCAAGGGCCTCTACAAGATTTTGCCTCAGTATTTCCCACAACTTTATGAGTGTCACAAGATATGTAAACCATTGGCACTATTATTTATTTAGTGCTTTCTTTCAACTGATGCACTTTTTATTCTTAAATTTGCTTGAAAAGAAAACCATCATAAATGAAAAACTGTTTCAGTAGGCATCAACAGGAGCTATAAAATCACTGATATAAACAAAATATAATTAAATTATAGCTAGATTTTGTTGCTTGCCAAAGGCTTTTAGTTTGAGGCTTGCTCATTCTTGTTTAAAAAATAAATCAAGATAAGCACATTAGATATTAATGACACATTTGTTTTAGATTGTGATTTTGAAAGTTCTTCATTGAAATAACCAAATAAACTGAACGAAGGCTGAAAAGCAAATAATGTTCTCGCTGAATGTTTCAATCTTATTTAATGTCGCTTTCCAGTACTGCTATATGGAACCTCTCATACAATGCTATGCACCTCAGCCTTTGGGAAACAGTCATTTACCAGATTGTTCCGCCTCATTATTTCTTTTGTGAATTGCATCATTTACCATGCCACTTATTTGGGAACTTGTCAGAACATTTCTTATGTGATATTTAATTCATTTGTATCATTTCATGTGGACAGATACAAGAGGAATTATCAGGATAACACAGTCTTAGTCACACACAAGTCACAGTTTAGCCAAACCAGAAATATACGTTGACCCTTGACCAACATGGGTGTTAATGGCGCTGACCTGAAGAGTAGAAAATACACATAGAAGTTTTGACTTCCCAAAAAGTTAATTACTATTAGCTTTCTGTTGACCTTACCAGTAACATAAACAGTCAAATAACATGTTTTTGTGTCGTATGTATCACATACTGTATCCTGACAATAAAGTAAGCTAGAGAAGAGAAAATGTTATTAAGGAAATCATAAGGAAGAGAAAATACATTTATAGTACAGTAATATATAAAAAAAATCCATGTTTAAGTGGGAGCACACAGTTCAAACCTATGCTGCTGAGGATCAGCCAACTCTTAGACAGTTATAATGAGTCAGCCAATGTGGTATACATGTGAATGATAAGGAAAACCTGAGGGATGCCTGGGTGGCTCAGTCGGTTAAGTGTCTGCTTTCAGGTCGGGTCATGATCCTGGAGTCCTGGGATCAAGTACAGTGTTGGGCTCCTTGCTCAGTGGGAAGCCTGCTTCTTTTTCTGCCTGCTGCTCCCCCTGCTTGTGCAACTCTCTGACAGATAAATAAAGTCTTAAAAAAAAAAAAAAAAGGAAGATTGAATTTTCATAGGAAATTATTTTTAGGCAAATCAATAAAGAATTATATATGGAATATATATGGAATGGCCATATATGTATTCTTTCTCCTTGCCTGTTAATGATATTTTCTATAGATAACTCTACACAGTCATATATGCATTTATAGCTAGAAACACAATATCCTTTGTAAGATCTTTTAAGTAAGTCCTATTATCAAAATTATTTGTCATATTGCTGTTTAAGCTTTCTGTTTTAAAAGCTAATTGAGTAAAGTTTAGCTTTGGATTAATGTGGATGAAAGTTTAGACATTTTGAAGTTCATTTGCATTTCGTAAGACTTCCATATCACATTTTAAATCAAACTCGACTCACAGATTTTAAGTCACCAACCACCTTGACTAAGATTTTGGTCTTTACTAAATATCTAAGTTTGAGAATAGCTTAACAGAATGCCCTATATTCATTTGCTATCTGACTTTACTCATTTCGCTACAGATCAGAGTTTGGACTTTTCTCAAAACATGTGCATTATGAAAATTGTAAGTAAACCTGAGGAATAACTGCAAATGACTTCACATTTCATTAATTCACACTTAAACCATGTTCCATAGCATTCATCTTTAGTAAGTTTTTATATCAACAGAACTGAGTCCAAATTTGAAGTGCTATTAGAAAACACTTTATTATCTTCAATATAGTATCTCTTTGATTTCAGACCTTAAAAAGGCATATATTCCTATTTTGATTAAATATTTAAAATCTGAGCAGAATTTTGTCTTCAGAATAACAATGTATACATTATCATATAAATGTCTGGATTTCTCAATACACTCAATACAAAATGTACTATGTAGGGTTATGAATTGGTATATATTATTATTTTTTTAAGATTCATCTAAACCTTACGGCACAGTTATTTTTCTTTAAATGACATGCCTCTCTAAAATTATTATACATTTCTGAAGGCTGATTTTAAAAAAATTCAAATAAAGAATAGTCAGAAAGTTTTGTCTGATACAAGCTTCAAATTTTTTCACTCTTAATGAAGTCTATTAGCAAGAAAGGTTATGACCTGATATTAATAGCAAGAGGAACAAAGGGTTTTGATTTTCTTTGTACCCTAATCCTTTAGCAGCTGATAAATATTTTAAGTGTGTCTTCCAAATTCAGCATTAGATCATTTCCAAAAGTATTTTAACTAGTTATCAAAATAGAAATTAATTACATAGGCTTTCTATGCAGAGTGGTTTATTGGATAGAAAATCTGTCTTTATTAGAAGAAGAGGATGGACATTAAAATGACCAGACCTGATTTATAGTCATTGTCCCCATCTTGAGAAAGTAGTTTCACTTTTCTCAGCTAATATTTGTAGATCTGCAGAATGGAATGATGTCTCCTTTGCAGACACCAGCAAATAATATATGGAACTGATCCTAAGAGTTTCCTTTAAAAATGGTAGCTATCATTATCCAACTAGCAAATTTTAAATAAATCATTCCTTTTTTTCCTTAAAAATTGAATTCGGGTAAGCAGAATTTGTCTTATTTATTATTATTTTTGTTTTCTATTCTCACTCATTCATCCCACATTTTTACTAGAGACCTAGTGGTAGGTACTAGAATCGTGGCTCTGAATAAAACAAGTAATATCTGTCCTCATAGACAGACAACAGGGACTGACAACAAACACATTTAAAAAAATTAAATGTCACTGACAGCAAACACATTTTAGAAAAATTAAATAATTGTCACTGTAATAATAAAACACTGTTGAGCAAATGAAGCCACATGGTAGAGTAGTTTGAAGAGAAATAAGGAGATGACTTTAGGTGAGAGGGTTAGAGAAGACCTCTTTAAGTGGTGACATCTGAACAGAGTTACAAAAGATAGAAGGAAGTCAGCATGTAGCATGAGAGAACACCAAGGCATAGGGAAGAGCCAGCAGAGAAGCCTGAGGCAAGAAGAGCCCCATAAAGTTATCTACCAAACAAGGTGAAATGGGGCTGAATGGTTGGAAGTGAATTGAGCAAGGCAGAGGCCATGTCATGTAGAGACTCACCAGCCATAGTAAGAGGTATAGGGAGCCATTAGAGCAGTGAAGTTTAAATTTAAATAGATTTTTTCAGGTGGCCATTGCAGGGAGAGAGGTGGGTGCTAGATGAACAATAACCAATTAAATAGTATATCTGGAATATATTTTGAAGCTAGAGCCCATGGGGTGAAAAAATAGGAACATCAAGAAAGGCCACTGTTCTTTGGCTTGTGTAGCTGGAGAGAATGGTACCACGCATTGAACCAAGAAAGCATGGGAAAAGGCAGATTTAAGGATACCAGTCAGGAGTTCTGTTTTAAGCATGTTTAATTTCAGATGCCGACAGACAGTCAAGTGAACTTGACAGTCAAGTGAACAGACAAGGGAGGCATGGATTCTTTTCTTTTTTTTTCTTTTTTTCTTTTCTTGAGAGGAAGAGAGAGAGCAGGGGCAGAGGGGAAGAGGGAGATAGAGAATCTTAAGCAGCATGGAGCCCAACCCAGGGCTCGATCTCACTACTCTGAGATCATGATCTGAGCTGAAATCAAGAGTCAGATGCTTAACCCTAACTGAACCACCCAGGTGCACCAGCAAATGGATATTTTAAACGATCATTAATGGGCTTCTCTTTGTTTTAAAATCATTTTCTGTATTTTTCACATGACAGATTTTGTTCATGGTGCATTTTTGCAAAGTTGTTAAAGTGATCTTTTCATTATAATTTTCTCAAGTAATTTTATGGTAGAAAGGTCATCTGAACTATATTTATTTTTCCCTAAGTTTGAGAGGTATCTGTCTGAACCTTCCTGAAACTTCCTCAAGTCAAGAGATATGTCATATCTTAGTGAGAATATGACACACGGCAGTGTCACTCATGAAGCCCTCCCCAAAGACAGGTGGTTGTCTGCAATATCCTGGTTTATTGAGGACGTGAAGTTGGACCAGATGCTCTAAAACAGGATTCAGCAAACTATGGCCTACAGGCCCAATCTAGCACCCCACCTACTTTTCTAAGTAAAGTTTCTTTGGAATACAACCGTACTTACTCTTTAAGTATTGTGTGTATGGCTGCATTCACAGTACGGTGGCAGAGTTGAATAGTTACAAGAGAGACTTCAGACCCACAAAGCCTAAAATATTTACTATTTGGCTCCTTTAAGAAAAAATTGGACCCATGCTCTGAAGTTTTTCTAACCATGAAGCCTGTGTGATTTTATGATTTAAAGAAAAGTGAATTAAAAATGAAGTAGGATCTATACCCATTTACCACCCATAACAATTGGGAGAGTAAATCTGATATTCACTAACTACTTTCAGTGATTGTCTTTTCTTTTATTTCCTCTAAAGCTGAGAATCAGAGTTCAATCAAAACAGCAGGAACACCAGGTAAGTTAATTATCTTCTCTCTGAGAATATTCATGAGTAAAATCCCCAAAATGAGATAAAGAAGATCAGTCAGTGTGGGAGCATGGAAAAATAGTACAAGGGAAAAGATTACATAGCAACTAAAATGTTTAGGGGAACTTGCATTTAAAAAAAAAAAAAAAAAAAAAGTGCGGACCAGACCATAGGATGTGCCTGAATGCTCTGTGGTAAGAGTAAGTGGAACCAGCCCTGGTAAATGCATGAAGCCTGTGCAAGTGTCCTCTGCCCAGAACCCACTGTTCTGGTCTGTTTCTGCGGTCAGCCTGCCCTTGCCCAGAAGTACAGTGTGTCTGTGACTGTCTTCTCTGTGTTTCCCAACATAGCCTGATCCTGGCAGCCCGAGAGTTGGTGTTACAAACCACAGTTAACAGCCTAAAATATTATCACTCCAAGAAGAGCTTGTTTTTGTTTTTTTTTTTATCCTAAGTTTTAAACTCAATAAATTGAGGATGATGATGCAATAGGAATTGGAAAAGATTGCTGGGCAGGGGAAGATGGAACCATTGTTGAGTCTTTCTGTTGTTTTGAAATCGTAATTACCTGGGAAACTTCTATGTTCCTACATCCTACCTCATAGTTTTATAAGTGACAAATTTCTTAGGTTCTCAATCTTGGTCACTTTTGGTATATATAAAAATGAGAAATATGTGAAATTAACTTAGAAGCTTACATAACTTAAAAAACTGTCAAAAAAATAAAGTCATGAAAACTATGACTGAGTCTGTTTTCACAGTGAATGTACAAAATGATCATCACAGTCTACCTTCCCCATCATGTGTTCAAGGAACTCAGAACAGAAGTGCTTAAGCTGTTAACTTTTAATTATCTTCTACACAATATTTCTCATGAGTAAAAGTTATTTTGATATTAATCCTCTTTATTTCACCTCATCACTATATTTTTTATTCTTATTTCCATTTACATAATCTAGAAATGCACTAGAAAAAGCACTGGGAAAAACAAAGCAAAACAAAACATAAAAACAGTGCATCCAAACAAACAGGGCAAATTTGCATTGGTTGATGGTTTGCACTGCTCTGGAGAAGTCCTTACTTTCTGCTTCATGCACTGGTCATCCAGGAGAAGTTACATATGGAAGAGAATTGAGAAGCTGCCAAAATCATCAACTCCTAAAAGGAGGGATCGAAGCATCCTTTAAGAGAAAAATTTACAAAATGCCAGCTTTAACTATAGTTTATTTTTAACTATAATAAAAAGTCCAACTACACTACTTAAATTTTGAGTTATAGAAACTAGTTCCCCTAACACAGATAATAAATACGTCATTGATTTGAACAGTGGATTAAAATAAAGTGAGACTGATTTAGTAAACTATGAGAAAAGTCAGTCTTAACTTCAGAGATATTTGTTATGGGTAGATTAAATCCAGACTCACTCAAAAAAAAAAAGTGTAATGAAAGGTATTCGTTACACATCTGTTAACAACTGTAATCATTTGTTCAGTTATTTGTTTGTTATCAAAGATTTCAATCATCAAATTTGTGAAAGTCACTCATATGATCAAGAATAGGCATCTTACTTGAAATAATTAACATTTTTAGGTAGAAATTGAGGTAGAATTCTAGTCTTCAGAATTTTTATTGCTGCTTCCTTTTTATAAATATGAGCTAATATGCATTTAGCCTTTGATTAGATAATATGTCATACATTTGGCATTTTCCTTCATATTATGCATCCAGCTTTCATTTTCTTGGTAAAAATATGTTTTTACCACTGACTTCAAAAATTATTATTTAGAGTATAGAAATTGATGCTTGTTTTTACATAAAAATCTCTTTGGGAATTCAAAATAAGCAAGGCAACTGTACATAAAGCATCAGTTATAAGAAATTGTACATAGATATAACATAGCATAGTAATAGGGAAATGATTGATCAAGGTCTGAAAACACAGCCATTTATTCCACTCAATAGAGGAAACACAGTATGAGGTGAATCGTTGTGTTTTAACAATGCTGAGAATGGCTTAGTGTCTGAAGTATGTGAGAAAGTCAAACTTCACCTACCAACTATCACATTTATGGTAAGACCACAAATTTAGTATGATACTATACTAAATACACAGAACCATATATTTGATCAACCACCACTAACCCAGGCATTTAATAAATAGTTCTTCTGTTTCTTCACATGTAACTCTAGCTAAGAGTTTTGAGTGATACTGGAGCCTGCCATTAAGGGTTACCAAGAAGACTAGTCAGCATGGTAAAAAATAAATAAATACTGTAATAACTCTAGTGGCCATACAGGTCTACAATGATGTGTCATAGACAAACTTCAGACTTCTTAACCTCAGGTTAAGATTGGAGAAAGGAGAGATTTTTTTCTCTCCCTTTAGCTGTGGTCGTGTTACACAGGAAAGCAGTGTAAGGAAGATGAGGAAAAGGTTCATGAAAGAAGTGACTGGGTATTTTCCAGATTATTCTGCCTACTCATTTTTCTAGCTCTGAGTTCAGAGCTAATGAGGAAATGCAAAGAAAAAGTGATGCCAGACTATTTATTCCCAAGAGTTAAATGCAGGAATCATATGGCCATGACGACAATTTTAAGCAATGACGAAATTCACTTTTCTTTAGCCTTATCATTTTGCCACAGACGAGCAGAGATAATAATGTGTCTTTGAAAATGAAACTTGATTTCTTTGATAAGGGACTTTAGATCTGAAGAAAAATGGACCAATACGCCTCCATGGATTGGGAAAAAAATAAATGACTAGCCCTCAATTTTCTGGAAAATACAACTATATTACGCAGGGTTCTCCAGAGAAACTCTATATATCTCTGTATAGAGATTTATTATAAGGAATTGGCTCATGCATTTTGAAAGCTGAGAAGTCCCAAGATCCGTAGCCAGGAAGCCTAGAGACCCTGGAGAATGAATTGTATAATTCCAGTCCAAGGCCTGAGAACCAAGAGAGCCAGTGGTATATGTTCCAGACTGAAAGCCAGCAGGCTTGAGACCCAGAAAGACCAAATATTTCAGTTTGAGTCCAAATGCAAGGAAAGACTTATGTCCCAGCTCAAGGCAGTGAGACAGAAGATTTCCTTCTTTACTCCTTATTTCTTACTGAGGGGTTATCAGCCTGTTTATTCTATTCAGGTCTTCCACTGATTGGATGAGAGGCATAGACTTTATTCAGTCTACTGATTCACATGTTAATAGCATTCAATACACTCACAGACATAGCTGGACTAATGCTTGACCAAATATCTGGGAACCCCATGACCAATCAAGTTGACACATAAAATTAGTCATTGCAACCACATTCCCATAGCGATCAGTACAACTTGAGAATGGTCTCATTGTACCCATCTTCTTTACTTTTTTAACTGTGTTTCACAAACTCAATTGCATTGTAGACATTAATTTAATGGAAAATTAGAAGCCAGAACAGACATTACTAGTTCTACCATATCTGACCACTGGCCTTTTGGAAAGGAGAATGCTCCAGCCGGGCATCTTCATTGTGCTCAACACCCTGTGAAATGCTTGAGAATTGGTTGCTGACCTCTAGGAATTCATATAACGTGAAGCATCGATCCTTCTATGCAGAGGGTTACTTACCTGAGTATTCTAACTTTGAATAACAGAATCTTGACACAATTATTTAGGTAGAATCCACTCAAGCTAAAAATATACCTATAGTAAAGCAGTATCCAGAGGTTTATTGTGTTTTGTTTTTTTAACTTAGAAATTTTATAAAGTTTTAAAGATTAGTTGAGAATAAAAGGACTTACAAATGGAACATGTCAATATTGAAGTGGTAGAGTCTGCCATAAACTTTCACTTAGGAAATGGTATAAATTTGGATATAGCTGAGTGGTTTCTCTTCTGGTTCAGAAATCTGTGGAGTCTCTGAGAAGTGCTTGTGCCTCTCTAGTCTACACGGAAAGTCATAAGAACTCACAGTCTCAACTGATTAGCTACCCAGCATTCACTTTAAGAGCCAATACATTTCAATGTTATTACTAATAGTGTGTGCCTTATAAAATCTACAATGTGCTTTATCTAATATATGAATAATTCTCTCTGTCTTCTTGTATATATCTGCATGGTCTGGTTTGTCCTGTTGAAGGAAGGAGGTGTTTAGTTTGCCTTGATGGAAACAAGTTTGTCTTGATTGGGGTCTAAACTGAAATAGACTATATTTAATGTAACAAAAATAAGAGGCATAAACTTGTAACTCATTCCTGCTGAAATGCAACAGCAAGCAGCATGGATTGATGTTTGACAGCACAGACTGGAGAGCCTGCATTCAAATCCTGACTGACACCTGCTTGCTGTGTAACATTGGGCAAATCACTTAATCTCCCTGGGCTTCAGTTTCCACTTTGTAAAGTGCAAATATTTATAATGTGATAGTTGAATGAGTTAATATTTGAAAACACTTAGAACAGTGCCTGACACATAGGACCCTGAAAGGGTTTGAAAATAAAAATCCTATTTAATATTTTCATGTCCATATTTTGAAATGCTTACTTTCTTATTCTCAGAAAACATAACATTGGCAGTTATATATTATAAAGCTTTTCAATGTTTTCAGGTCATGTTATTCAAATTGTGAGTTTAAGGTAAAATGATGTTTCTATGTTAGGGGAAGGGTAAGAACACTCTAAACCTTTAGAATGTTGAGAAAAAATTTCATTGATTTCACTAATAATGATGCTGTTAACAAATAAGTTGAACTTAACTCACTTAAAATCTGTTGGTTACCTGGTATAATGAAAAGGGAAAAGAAAGACTTTCAAGTTCTACTTGGTTTACGTCTTAGTTCCAAGCCAAAGTATCTCTCATGTTTAAAGCACAAGATTAAAAATATTTCAGAATGAGATGATTAACGCAGTGCCTCATTCATTCTTTGTATACTGTATACAGCTTTCTGGAAATTAATGACTATTCACATTCAAATAACAAAAAAAAATACATGCTTCTTCAACATATAATTCTACAAAGTTATGTAAAGTAAATAAATCTCCATTCACAGTTATCACTGGGTTAGAAGATTCTGTTAACCAAGGTTAGTCACACTGATGACCCAAAGCAAAGTGAAAGAAATTTGAGGTGATCTTTTTTTTGCATTGTTTTAAGAGTACACCAAGTTTGGGGCACCTGGGTAACTTAGTCCATTAAACATCTGCCTTTGGCTCAGGTCATGATCTACTAGAATATAAGCTTCTTAAATGCAATAACTACCCTTGTATTCCACTCTATTTCTTTCAGTATCTCCTGTTGAACTGGAGTAGGTGTCTATTTTTTCTTATTGTAGAATGAATGAAAATATTAATGATACAATTATCTTAAACATGTATCTGTCCAAATATGAAGACACAAATGGTATGCCCATTAATTCATTTAATCTTTAGCAGTAGTCACTTCTGCCAAAAAATTTGTTTACCCATAAAGCAAAGACTTAGAGACCCTACTTCCAGACACTGTTCTAACATTTGGGAAACATGAGTGACCAAAATATTATCCTTGTCCTCAAGGGTCTTAGTTAGAAGGTGGTCAACGTGATGAGAAAGAGAGAATTCACAGCAGTGTAGGAAGGAGAGCTCACTAGGTGAAGAAAGGTAGGGACCAGTTTGCAGGACCAAAAAAAAGTGATCAAGGTAAGCTTACCTAAAAAGATTTGAGTAAATGCAGGGAAGTAAGCAAACCAGTCCGTGAGAGAAGAGCACCCCAGGCAGACTTAGAACTTGAGGAGAGATCCTGTGTGTTTCAGCGCCTGTACTGAGTAAATGGGGTAGGAGATTTGCCAGGCAGATTGCCTAGGTTTTGGAGGGTTATCGCAAGGACTTTGGTTTTTTCCATAAGTGGAATGGGGAAACATTGGGTGTCTGGAGCAAAGTAGTGACATGATCTGACTCATATTTTATAAATGTAAATCTGAGAACTAAGGAGAGCCTGTTAGGTGAAGCAAAAATACTTTGGAAATTTTCCAGAAGAGGAATGCTGTTAGCTTGGACCAGGGTAGTCACAGGGTAGGTTGCGTGAAGTCTCCAACTCTGTATATATTTCAGAGGTGAAACCAATAGAGATTCCTGCTGATCCTGCATGTGGGCTAGGATGCAAAAGATGAGGCAAAAATAGCTGTGAGGTCTTTCACCTGAAAGATTGGAAGGAATGATTGCCAGATGGGAAAGCTGCAGATGAAGTAGAAGTTCAAGTTTGGATGTGTTGAATTTAAGATGTTTGTTATTTGCTGAATAAGCATGTAGCTTTATGAATCTGGAGTTTAAGAATGAGATCTGGGCTGGGACTATAAATTCAGGGATCAGTGGGATTGATGTTGTATTTAAGCCTTGAAATTGAATGAGATCGTCAAGAAAATTATTGTAGTTAGAGATGAGGACAAGTACCAAACTCCAGGACCCTCAATGATTGTGAGTCAGACAAAGAAAGGGGAAGCAGCTGGAGACCAAGAAGAAGAAGCCATAAGCTGTGTTCCTGCTGCAAGCCACATGAAGATGGGGGTTAAGGAAGAGTAAATGATTTATTGTGTTAAATACTGAAAAGTTATTTTTTAAAATGAGACATGAATCCATCAAATTGCAATTAAACACTAGTCCCAATTATTTACAAGCAATGGGAAAAAATCATTGAATTTAATTGAGTTTAGCCTCTCAGGTACTTAACTTTAAGTGTCCACATTTTAGAAAGAAGTGTAGGCAACATACAAGAAATAAAAATAGAATATATAATTTTCCTTTCTTTTTCATGTAGAATGTCTTCTCCTCTACTGCCAATCACACTTTTCTCCCATTAATATCTATGTATCTTATATACCCCCTCTTAGAGGGCAACAGGGACTTCTCCAGTCTGAGTCTCTCCTCAGAGGAGTTTCTGACTCCCAGGAACAAGCCTGCTTCCTTATCTTTGCTAGGCTCAGTCACGGACTGGGAGCAGCCTGGGGGATGCATGGCATCAGAAAGAATACAACAGTGAATTTCAGAAAGCAGGTGGGGAAGCTTGGTCAGTTACACGGCCTGTAGTTGATTTTTCTCTCTTGCAAACTGGGTTTAAATTGTGACCCAACAGGGGCACCTGGGTTGCTTAGTAGGGTAAGCCTCTGCCTTCAGCTCAGGTCTTGATCCCAGGGTCCTGGGATCAAGCCCCACGTTGGGTTCCGTGCTCAGCAGGGGAGACTGCTTCTTCCACTCCCTCTGCTGCTCTCCCTGCTTGTACTCTCTCTGTCAAACAAATAAATAAAATTTTAAAAAAATTATGACACAACATATTTGCAATTAAATAATCATTATAATCACCAAAAGTCAGGGTCCCACAGTAAATCTATGTCATCTAAGAGTGCTGTATACTCCAGTCATTCCAGTTCCTGGTTAGAGAAAAGAGGTATCCAAAAACATGGAGGTGTCTGAATAGTCTATTGCATATATTTTTACATCAAGAATTTTTGAAAAAATGGGACAAGTTGACTGTGGTTGAAAAGTACAACTCTTTAGAGGCCTAATCACAATATAATAAAAATATTATAAAATAATATAATAATAAAATATTATTATAAAATAACATAATATAAATATCTTAGTATCAAGTACTTTTCTAAGCCATTTAAATTTAATTTTACCCATTTAACTTTACAACACTATGATATAGAACTATTAAAATCACCACTTGTACATGTGGAAACTCAAGCACAAAGAGGTTAAATGACTTGCCCAGCATTCTACGGAATGATTTGAACCTACCTACTCTGACTTCAGAATCACGCCTTTAACTACTCCACTATACTCCTGTATCTCCTCTGTCAATGCTGTTTTAGTAGTAATGTAGCATAACCGAGTCTCAACAAAATCCACAAACATCATCAGCTCTGAACACATCATGGATCCCTCTATCTTAGTCACAGAAAGAATTCCATTAGGCCACAATTTATTAATTAAGCCAAGAATAATAATTTCATTGATATGAGCATGCTAATAGACAAGTTTCCTCAAACTGTGAGTTAGTTTCCACAAGTGGGTTATGGCCAGTATTGGAAAAAATTAAATAAAAGACAATAGAAAACAAAATGCCAGAAGGCATTACACGTAACAGAGGCAAAGTAAGTGTGTGTGTAGGTGTACCAGATTCAGAATTTTTTTTTTTAGTATTTATTTATTTATTTGAGAAAGAGAGAGAGAGAATAAGAGCATGAGTGTGGGGAAGGGCAGAGAGATAGTGAGAGAGAATCTGAATCAGACTTACTGCTGAGAGCTTATCCCAACTCAGGGCTTGATCCCATGACCCATGAGATCACGACCTGAGCCAGAATCAGAGACATTCAACCAACTGAGCCAGCAGATGCCCCAAGAAACGATTTATCAATTGAAGGTTGAGTTTAAAAGAAAAACAAAAATTTTAAAGTCTTTGTCCAAGGAGCCAATAAATTCTTCTTTTGAGAAGGTTAACTATTGCCAAGCCTATGGATTGAAAGTAATAACAGATGGCACTGGACAATCAACATGTGTTAAGTAGGGCAGTTTGGAGTTTTATCTAAACCACAGAGGTAATAATAAGAATTTTAACCACTTAGCTTGTCTATGAGAAGATAGTAAGATAGGGTATGGAATCTTGAAAATTAACCATTGGAAAATCCCAGGGAGTTTAATACTATTGGAAATTTAATCGGCCATCTTGTTCTCTACCAACACAATCAAAAGGGCAACATTCTCACTAAAACACTTGACACAGGAAAAAGCAGCTGAAAGTACCACAGTTTCAGCTAGTTCCCTCTCTTTCATTTAATATTTCTTTTTCTGCCTGTGTAGTGCACTAGCCTGACATTTTTCTTTGTTCTTATGGGCATATATCTAGCTTCCTCCCACAGATCTCTTGCATGGCAAGAACGGTACAGACTCTAAACATTATTCTTCCCCCACAGATGTCAAAAATGCATGAGCATGCAGGGCGTGCTGGGCTGTGGGTGGCAAAAAGGGAAAGATCCAAGGCAGTCATAGGCAATATCAATTTCTCTGATGCAATTATACACGTCCTCAGTACTCCTAAGGGGGCCGTAATTATAAGAAATGCCTCTTACTTCAGCCAAGCAGCCAGCTCCATCTCAGTGCACACCCACTGCCGTTAGAGCCCCATGTGGAGTATGGTGGCAGTTACAGCCTTCACACTGCAGGAACTTAAACTTCAGTGGTGAGAAAAGGCAAACAGTTGTGATCAAAGGAAATTACTTGAAACTACATTCTTTGAAAAATAATTCTTTTTCAAAACCATTCTAAATACAAACAGTGCTTCATCCCAAATTCACAAGAACAGATACTACAAACTTATAAAGAATTTACATATTGGTATTTCTTTGCAACTTGTTGAGATTAGTAGATGTTGAATAATGCACTTTTATTTAGAACTTTTGTTTCAGTCCTTCTGATGAAAGGGCAGATGTTGAATTAAACAAATTAATAATAATAATAATAATGATTATAAACTTCAAATTAACAATTTCTTTGGAAGAAAAGAGCATGAAACAGTGGTGAAAATGCAAGCAAGCAGCAGTTATTCTAGAAAAGGCACATACGTGTAAAGAACCACTGAGTTTTAAAGGTGAAAATGAAGCAATCTTCCTTGCTATCTTCCTCAATCCTTTTAACCAAAGCTTCAGTGACAATCTTTTATTCAATCACTAAGAAACAGGATAAAATCTGAAGTCTTGTGCATTTATGTCTATTTTAAGTACGTGTATTGGAAAAAAAAAAAATCTCTATTCCCCAAAGTTGTGATATCTGAAATGTGACTACTGCTTCTGAAGAGATTTGCATCCCACAAAACTTTCACGCAGCGGGTAATACAGACTGCAGCCTAGGAAAGAGACTCCAGCTTTCTTGGCCAATCCTTAAAGATGTGATACTGATACCCAGCTTTTGTTATCCCAACTTTAATCATCTTTACAGAAGGAATAGAGGAACATATGATTTAATGTATGATTGTGTGTATCCTATGATTCCACAATAAACTGTTTTCACAGGTCCTCAGAAATGCAAACTGTAAAATCTGCAAAGAAATTCAGTAAGAAGAATCAATACCCTCGTCTGACTGGATTTGTGATTTCCCTACAGGTAGTTCTCTACCTCCAGAGGGGTCAACTTCTCATACCAGTACATCACCCTCAGTCTCAGTAACAATGCCAGGAAACAACTCCCAGTTTCAAGGTATGACTTCTGTGTGCATGAGTGGACATGTGCTTTCCTTGATCCCTTCTCACCAAGAAAACCTTATGAATCTTTTTTTAACAGCTTTATCGAGGTATAATTGAAATACAAAACAAAACTGCATATCCATGGTAAAGCAAGGACACACGGAAACTTTGAAAGTGATAGACGTGTCTATTACCTTGATTATGGTGATAGTTTCACAGGTATAGGCATTTGTCCAAAGTCGTCAAATTGTATACATTAACTCCCTACCAGTCTTGATTTACAAAACAGAGTTCTTTCAGAATGAGGGGTTTTGTTTTGTTTTGTTTTGTTTCCACTTAAAAACATCATACCTAGAAATCACAGAAGCTTAGTTAAATGGGGGGGTTGGGGGTGGATTGTGAGGATTGGCATAACCAAATGTGACCTATTATTTTTCTTTTTTAAAATAATAGGTACTGAAGATGCAAAAAACGCAAGCTCTTCTTCAGTCAACCCCTCTTACTCCAGTGAGTAAAAGACGTTTCTTCATTTGTGTCAACAAATACTCAAAATGTTTTAATGTGGCTGATAACAGAGATGATTCGATTATAGACAGTCTTTTGTCAACTTTGCTGAACCTGCAATTTCATTATAATCCTATGTAATTACTGCCTATTTTGAGAATTTCCTGCTGTTGGGTCTGGTTTTAATGAGCACACTTTGGGATTTTTTTCTTACCCCGGCGTTAAGCGATTACCACCAAGGGTCAAGGTGAATGGATAAGACTAGTCTCAGATAAGCCAAAGCGCATGGGCAGAGAGCTCCGTAAAGATAAATTGTTCACCTTCACAGAACTTTACCTTATGTTAAAAATGACCTTTAAAGAAATGCTCCATTTTAGCCAAAACATAAATATATCATGTAACCTATGTGTGTATTCTAGGACTAAATAGAAAAAAAAAAATCCACTCATTTCCCTAGAAATTAAGAATGAGATGAATGTATATGAAGCCGATGACAAAAGGTGATCTAGATTTAGGTAAAGCCATCCCATTCAAAAAGTCACCACTGCATTTATCGACCTGCTAATTCACAACATCTTCATTTTTGGAGGCACTCATGATCTCACTCAAGGTCTAATATGAAAAATATTTAACTATAAAATTGGAAGTAGAAGCCATCTTACAGAAAACTGGATAAATACGAGGAGGACATATGTAAGCCGATGAGAATGCTCAGTAAACTATCACTATCACTATGGCCTCTGCATCTCTGGTTGTATGACTATGACAGCTCTGTCTTTTCATCACCATTGTTTTAACCTGGGCAATGACTGTCATAAAAGAAGACCAGATGCTAAAAGCCAAACCGAAACAGCAAGACCCTCTTCTGAATAAAAACTCACCCCAATTTACTGTCACAACACCACTCCCTTAAATGTGTGTGCACATACACACATACACCATTCTTGAACCATGTGCTCATTTTTAGAAATCATATCCACCCTGATATGTACTTATGTCCACTTATGCTATTTTATGCCTTTTCTAGTTCTAAGATATTATTATGGAAAGATACTCCATAAGTGCACTGGCAGAGAGCTCCATAAAAATGAATGGTTCACCTTCACAGAACTTTACCTTATGTTAAAAATGGGCTTTAAAGAAATGCTCCATTTTAGCCAAAACATATATATCATATACCATGTATGTGTATTCTATGACTGAATAGAAAAAATCCACTCGTTTCCCAAGAAATTAAGAATTTCTGGGTTTTTTAGGAAGCCAACATCACAGCTAGAGCAGTTCCAGTACGTGATAGATGATAGATAGATAGATTGATTGATTCTGGTAACCGTATTATAAAGTAGTAAAGAATATAATGTGTGAATGTGGGTTTATAGTCTAGAGGACATCTTCTGCTTCTCCAGTCTTCCATCTCCTCACTTCTCCAGTCTCTAAGAAGGTGAGGAAACCAGCTCCCTTACGTTTAGAACTTTATTTCAAAAGGCTGCAAGACTGACATCAAGTGGATACATCAGAAATGACAACTAGAGGAAAACCTTTGAATCAGATACATCTTCTTTGCTGAAAATATAGTATGTTTAATAGAGTGATGTTTAAAGAAGGAAAGATGTATGCCTGCTTTTGTTCTGTAAATTCTTTACTGTTAAATTCAATAGCCACTCTAATTGCCAATGTCTTCAATACTTTTAGGTATTATTTTGCCAGTGGTGATTGCTTTGATTGCAGTGACACTTTCTGCATTTGTTCTTGTGGGTTTGTATCGAATGTGCTGGAAGACAGACCCAGGTAGGTAACAGGGTTTTGTTTCATTTTGTTTTTCCAAAGGTGAATGTACGTTCAGTCTAAACTTGAATTTAAACTCTTAAGGGGAGAGAAGGATTACAGAAAGAAATAAAATGCCCTATTGCTTGATCACAGAAATAGAGGGGAAGGGACAGAGAAATCCATTGAATGCTGATGAATGGATTGATGAGGATTACCTGCTGGTGGCAGATATTATCAGATATGGACAGATTCTTTTTTAATGAAAGAACCCCAGTTTTGCGAGTGACCAAGGGATTATGGTAGTGAACGGAGGCATAAAACGACATACCTTATCTGTAGTGAAGAATTTTTCCACTTCCATGTGACAGAGAATAGAGGTAAGCATTGCTAAGAATTTAGGTGAGGGCCCCACAATCTCATGAAGGGCATTCTGTGACATGGGCCATCCTGGGGGGCAGAGCTTCCTTCCAGGGAAGGTTGTTCTGTGACTGGGTGTTCTGCTGATTAATAAAGCTCCTCAGAATTAAACATGATTGCAATTTTTAGTGGGTTTTAAGCTTGACAATTCTTTCTTATCCTCCTTAATCTCTCCCATGGCATTTAAAGTCTTTCCTCACTTCTTTAAAAGTCTTTCCTTCTCTTCTTTACTGCTGCTCTCAACTATAGAGAACACACGGAGAGATGCTGGAGGGGAGGTGGGTGAAACTCGTGTGGGGATTAAGGAGAGCACATGTGAGGAACATCGGGTGATGTATGGAAGTGATGAATCTCTAAATTCTCCTGAAACCAAATGTATTTTTTAATATTTATTTATTTGAGAAAGAGAGAGCATGAGTTGAAAGGGCAGAGGGAAAGGGAGAGAGAATCTCAAGCAGACTCCGTACTGAGTGAGGTGCCTATCACTGGACTCATTCTCACCACCCTATGGTCATGAGCTGAGCTGAAACCAAGAGTCGGACACTTACCAGATCATGTGCATCATGCCGGCACCCCAAAATTGATTATTTTTATAAGATATGCAAGCCATACTATTCTTTACCCCATAAAGAGTGTGCCCCCAGGGCATTAAGGGATGCTGTTCCTGCAGCCAGTCTCCGCCACGCACCACACAGAGAGTTCAGGGCACAAGCGTGACAACACAAGGCAAAGTTAACACAAAAAAACCAGTAGTGTTCATTTTAGCTCTTATTGGAAAATGAGCAGAAAACAAATAAATGTCTTTCCTTTTGGGAGTTCGTGAATAAACTTCTTAATAATGTCTGAAATATGTTTCCTTAGTCTATTTCCAGAGGGGAAATAGCAATTTTATAAATCAGTTTACTTTCTCTAAGTTTCTAAACCACCAGTCCTATCTTTTATGGGAAATTGACCATCCAAGTTGAAGCCTGTGGGTGTTGAGTATGTAGGATAGGTAAAAAATTAATGTGCTAAATCCATTTGTAAAAATGCCCTACACTGAAAGACTGCTTTGCTTAAGAAGATTTGCAAATAAGTTATTTGAAAAGTTGACATTTTCTAATGAAGAAGATGAATTGGATGAATTGGATCATTCAGGGAAAATAAGTGTAAAATTCCTACAGTTATGGAGAGTTATTGTGGAGGCATATAATACTTTATAACAAAGTTCAGCAATTGTACAATTAGCCAAATCTATTTGGTTATTGTTAACTTTGTTTTCCAAACAGAAGTTTCACAGCATTGTTATTAAATTAGCACCATTAAACACCTACAGTTAATCTCTCGTGAAGTATGTGGGTGAGATTTCATCAAGTTCAGAAAATTTGTAAACCCTCTCTGCTCTGTGGAAGATAACATGAATCAGAGATTTCGGTATGAAATTAAGCTTATCTAGATAATGTTGACAGCAGTCTGAGCTTTAACCCAAGGAAGAACAGCCTATATGCAGAGTAATCTTTTGATATGCATCTATCTGCTAATGAAACTGAATTACAGTATTGAGGAAAAGTACTAAAACAGGCACGCAAAAAAGTATCAACTCATTCTGAAATAGGGTTATGAGCATCACAAGTGATATCATACATAACACTTAAAATAGGAATTAAAAAATGCTGTTAAAATCCTACTGATGTCGGGAAGACAAAGTTAGATCGAGTTAAAGAATAGCATATGGTGCCATGAGTTGAATCCTAGGGATTAAGAGTCATGATGGCTTATCTTAGCCAAGGTGACAGAAATAAAAGTAGCCAAAATATCAGTGGAAATCAAACTCTTTGTGAAATAATGATGGTCACCACCAGGAGAATTGTATTTAAAGGGCACATCCCAAAGACAAGGACTACATTAGAGGTGAAAGGAAATCCAAGAGACAAAAGCTGAGTACCTATGAAATAAAACCACAAAAAATTGGGAGCAAAACAGGGGGGACCCTAAGCAATTACATTAGTTTGCTTAAGGCGTCACAGTTTAATGATGCAGGGTTTGACCACCAACAAATCCTCCCTAACATCCAAGGCTTTGTGCAGAATGAATCATTCCGAATTCTCACTCTATACCCCCAATTCTTCTGTCAGACCCTGGTGGAGCAGCCCAGCAAAACAAAAAAAGATTAGTTACAGTTAGTAACCTCAGTGACATTTTGCAGAGCACTTTTGAGAGGCCAAATCAGTGGGCTCCAGATGCAATTAGAAGCAAAGTCTACATTGTTGTTCACCGCAAATACAGTGATTTGTGTCTCCAGAAAGAGCAGTGAATGAAGGAGAGCCAAAAATTCAATTCTCTGGTATAAAAAGGTAATGCGATACTTTGAGGAAAATTTTTTTTCAGAGATACTGAAATTAACTGAGACATTTTCTAGTGTCTGTGGGATGTGTGATAATGGATAGTAGTTTCACATAACAATATGAAACTATAAGATTGAAATTAGTCCAGAACTAAATTCAGTGGAGTTGGCCTACTTAGGACTATCCCAGGAATGTATCAGCCGTACCTGAGGAATAATAGGAACCATATCTGGGAAAAAGACTAGTGGAACTGGAGGGGAGACAAAAAAGTTACAAAATGGCATCATAAACATGTCTGCACAGAAAGTAGCAGAGGACTTGGGGTTGTTTTTGTTTGTTTTTATAGTCAAGCTCCTCACAGCTCTAATAACTGTTCTTTCCTTCCCTAGGCACACCAGAAAATGGAAATGACCAGTAAGTAGCAACATCATTTTTTTTTCCCCAGAAGCTCTGACCCTGCCTTTTATATAAGGAAAAAAAAAATTAATCTTCTACTTACGCATTTTGGGTTATTTTTTAAGTAATTTGTGTAAAAAGCCCAAGAAACAGGGTTTGGCTCTTTGTCAGAACTCTCTGAATCAACAGAGAAATTCCAACAACTAAAAAGAGACATTGTTCTTAATCTTGGATAAGGTAGTAAAATGGGAAATCAAAATGTAAAATGCAGGGGCGCCTGCCTGGGTGGCTCAGTCGGTTAAGCATCTGACTCTTGATCTCAGCTCAGGTCACGATCTTAATGTTGAGAGATCAAGGCCCGTGGGCTCCACGCTCAACAGGGAGTCTGCTTGGGGTCTCTCTCCCCATCTTTCTCTGCCCCTCCCCCCACTTGTGCTCCCTCTCTCTCTTTTTCTCTAAAATAAATAAATAAAAACAAAAATAAAGATGAAATGCAAAGATAGAAGGATGAATATAAGTAACTATACGGAAAAATCTCATAGAAAACATACCTAGAGTTTAAAAAGAGATTTTCCAGTGAAATTTTCAGTATGTTTATCACAAGGGATAATCATGACTGCACTGTGAGACAGCTCTGAGTGGCTTTATCTTAGCAGTAGATGGTTATTCTATTTTGAGTTTATCAAAACAAAAAAAAGCAGTTGTCACCAATCTAGCCAGCTGTTACAGTCAAGGTTCTATAAAGAAATAAATTGTTTTAATGTCAAAAACAAGTTTTGTAGTTAAGACTTCTTTGTTGACCCATATTTGCAGCCTGCCTTCACATAGTCGTTTTTTTTTTTTTTTTTTAAACAGAGGTCAAGGTTGAGACCTGTATTTAGGAAACACATGTTCTTTTTTTTTTTTTTTTAAGATTTTATTGATTTATTCAACAGAGAGAGAGAGAGAGATCACAAGTAGGTAGAGAAGCAGGCAGAGAGAGAGGGGGAAGCAGGCTCCCTGCTGTGCAGAGAGCCTGATGTGGGGCTCTATCCCAGGACCCTGAGATCATGACCTGAGCTGAAGGTAGAGGCTTAACCCACTGAGCCACCCAGGAACCCCCACATAGTCGTTTTTGTATGTTCATCGAATAGAGGACTTTAAAAATAATATCCTTAGGTCACCTACCCTTCTTAATTATTCAAAATGGTGTCTCTTGAGATGTCCAAAAAACTAATCTGGGTTTGAAACTGTTTAGAATGTGGGAAAGGATAGGTGGGAACTCTTGGTCAGAATAGACACTTTACTGCAGTAGCCACAGCTTCATGAAAAGAGCTCCCCAGACCTCGGCATGGGCCCAAAAGGCTGGGAAACACCTCTATGTCTTCCCTTTCATAATGCAGGACTGGAGACCTGTGCAATATGGACCTTGTGAGCAATGTTTCACATGACCCAGTTTTGTGTTTGATTTACCTATCATTGCTTAACAGTATGACAGAGATTTATTGGTTTGATTCTAGAAGTAGAAAGTGCTACAAAGGTATATGTATGTCTGTATGTAAAAAGACACAGGTTTGTCATAGAAACACATAAAAAATATATATTCTTGCATATCTTCTTCATTCTGTTTATATCATGTATATTTTCTTTCACAGACATGCAATGTTAATTACTGTGGTGTTGACTTATATTTTCTCTTCCAAATAGACCTCAGTCCGATAAAGAGAGTGTGAAGCTTCTCACTGTTAAGACGATTTCTCATGAGTCTGGTAAGCTCCCAATTGCTGATTAGCTGCAAATGGTTATTTCAAAATCTATCTTGGATTTTGTTCAGGTGAAACACGACCAAAAAGCATAATTTCTAAAGAAATAGACAATAAGTAACTCCCCACAAAGCAAAATTCTCCCCTACAGAAATGATGAGTCCTAGAAATATCGTTTTTAGTAAGATCATTGGATTATTGTACTTTAAGAGGTTGCTTTTTATGTTCCAAAGAAGGACGATGACTTGACAGATTTTCTACTCTGTGGTAGTAGCACAAAGAACTTTAATGTACCACATGGTTTTTATTATTGCTGCTGCTTTGCTTCATTTTTGGTAACGACTATGTATAGTTAAATGGAACCTGGATTCATCATGTAAAATAAAATCCTACTTTGTATAATTTTATATAATTTTAATTGAGCTTCCCAATGAGGAGAAAATACAGTCTCCTATTGAAAAAATTTATGTTTATTTTTCCCAATTTCCTACATTTTTAAATTGGATTTGAAATGTATGAATTTTCAAAATATAGGCGTGATTTGTATTAATTATATTTACATCAAGAATAATGAAAAATGAGGTGCTGAGTAGCTTTTTTTTTTTTTTTTTAATTTTATTTTTTTTAAACATATAATATCTTTTTATCCCCAGGGGTACAGGTCTGTGAATCGCCAGGTTTACACACTTCACAGCACTCACCATAGCACATACCCTCCCCAATGTTCATAATCCCACCCCCCCAACCCCCTCCCCCCATTAACCCTCAGTTTGTTTTGTGAGATTAAGAGTCACTTATGGTTTGTCTCCCTCCCAATCCCATCTTGTTTCATTTATTCTTCTCCTACCCCCTTAACCCCCCATGTTGCATCTCCTCTCCCTCATATCAGGGAGATCATATGATAGTTGTCTTTCTCCGATTGACTTATTTCGCTAAGCATGATACCCTCTAGTTCCATCCACGTCGTCGCAAATGGCAAGATTTCATTTCTTTTGATGGCTGCATAGTATTCCATTGTGTATATATACCACTTCTTCTTTTTCCATTCGTCTGTTGATGGACATCTAGGTTCTTTCCATAGTTTGGCTATTGTAGACATTGCTGCTATAAACATTCGGGTGCACGTGCCCCTTCGGATCACTACGTTTGTATCTTTAGGGTAAATACCCAGCAGTGCAATTGCTGGGTCATAGGGGAGTTCTATTTTCAACATTTTGAGGAACCTCCATACTGTTTTCCAGAGTGGTTGCACCAGCTTGCATTCCCACCAACAGTGTAGGAGGGTTCCCCTTTCTCCGCATCCTCGCCAGCATCTGTCATTTCCTGACTTGTTAATTTTAGCCATTCTGACTGGTGTGAGGTGGTATCTCATTGTGGTTTTGATTTGTATTTCCCTGATGCCGAGTGATATGGAGCACTTTTTCATGTGTCTGTTGGCCATCTGGATGTCTTCTTTGCAGAAATGTCTGTTCATGTCCTCTGCCCATTTCTTGATTGGATTATTTGTTCTTTGGGTGTTGAGTTTGCTAAGTTCTTTATAAATTTTGGACACTAGCCCTTTATCTGATATGTCATTTGCAAATATCTTCTCCCATTCTGTCAGTTGTCTTTTGGTTTTGTTAACTGTTTCCTTTGCTGTGCAAAAGCTTTTGATCTTGATAAAATCCCAATAGTTCATTTTTGCCCTTGCTTCCCTTGCCTTTGGCGATGTTCCTAGGAAGATGTTGCTGCGGCTGAGGTCGAAGAGGTTGCTGTCTGTGTTCTCCTCAAGGATTTTGATGGATTCCTTTCTCACATTGAGATCCTTCATCCATTTTGAGTCTATTTTCGTGTGTGGTGTAAGGAAATGATCCAATTTCATTTTTCTGCATGTGGCTGTCCAATTTTCCCAACACCATTTGTTGAAGAGGCTGTCTTTTTTCCATTGGATATTCTTTCCTGCTATGTCGAAGATTAGTTGACCATAGAGTTGAGGGTCTATTTCTGGGCTCTCTATTCTGTTCCATTGATCTATGTGTCTGTTTTTGTGCCAGTACCATGCTGTCTTGATGATGACAGCTTTGTAATAGAGCTTGCACTCTGGAAATGTGATGCCACCAACTTTGGCTTTCTTTTTCAATATTGCTTTGGCTATTCGAGGTCTTTTCTGGTTCCATATAAATTTTAGGATTATTTGTTCCATTTCTTTGAAAAAAATGGATGGTACTTTGATAGGAATTGCATTAAATGTGTAGATTGCTTTAGGTAGCATAGACATTTTCACAATATTTATTCTTCCAATCCAGGAGCATGGAACATTTTTCCATTTCTTTGTGTCTTCCTCAATTTATTTCATGAGTACTTTACAGTTTTCTGTGTATAGATTCTTAGTCTCTTTGGTTAGATTTATTCCTAGGTATCTTATAGTTTTGGGTGCAATTGTAAATGGGATGGACTCCTTAATTTCTCTTTCTTCTGTCTTGTTGTTGGTGTAGAGAAATGCAACTGATTTCTGTGCATTGATTTTTATATCCTGACACTTTACTGAATTCCTGTACAAGTTCTAGCAGTTTTGGAGTGGAGTCTTTTGGGCTTTCCACATATAGTATCATATCATCTGCGAAGAGTGATAGTTTGACTTCTTCTTTGCCAATTTGGATGCCTTTAATTTCCTTTTGTTGTCTGATTGCTGAGGCTAGGACTTCTAGTACTATGTTGAATAGCAGTGGTGATAACAGACATCCCTGCCGTGTTCCTGACCTTAGTGGAAAAGCTTTCAGTTTTTCTCCATTGAGAATGATATTTGCGGTGGGTTTTTCATAGATGGCTTTGATAATATTGAGGTAGGTGCCCTCTATCCCTACACTGTGAAGAGTTTTGATCAGGAAGGGATGCTGTACTTTGTCAAATGCTTTTTCAGCATCTATGGAGAGTATCATATGGTTCTTGTTCTTTCTTTTATTAATGTGTTGTATCACATTGATTGATTTGCGGATGTTGAACCAACCTTGCAGCCCTGGAATAAATCCCACTTGGTTGTGGTGAATAATCCTTTTAATGTACTGTTGAATCCTATTGGCTAGTATTTTGGCGAGAATTTTTGCATCCGTGTTCATCAAGGATATTGGTCTGTAGTTCTCTTTTTTGATGGGATCCTTGTCTGGTTTGGGGATCAAGGTGATGCTGGCCTCATAAAATGAGTTTGGAAGTTTTCCTTCCATTTCTATTTTTTGGAACAGTTTCAGGAGAATAGGAATTAGTTCTTCTTTAAATGTTTGGTAGAATTCCCCCGGGAAGCCGTCTGGTCCTGGGATTTTGTTTGTTTGGAGATTTTTGATGACTGTTTCGATCTCCTTACTGGTTATGGGTCTGTTCAGGCTTTCTATTTCTTCCTGGTTCAGTTGTGGTAGTTTATATGTCTCTAGGAATGCATCCATTTCTTCCAGATTGTCAAATTTGTTGGCGTAGAGTTGCTCATAGTATGTTCTTATAATTGTCTGTATTTCTTTGGTGTTAGTTGTGATCTCTCCTCTTTCATTCATGATTTTATTTATTTGGGTCCTTTCTCTTTTCTTTTTGATAAGTCTGGCCAGGGGTTTATCGATCTTATTAATTCTTTCAAAGAACCAGCTCCTAGTTTCATTGATTTGTTCTATTGTTTTTTTGGTTTCTATTTCATTGATTTCTGCTCTGATCTTTATGATTTCTCTTCTCCTGCTGGGTTTAGGGTTTCTTTCTTGTTCTTTCTCCAGCTCCTTTAGGTGTAGGGTTAGGTTGTGTACCTGAGACCTTTCTTGTTTCTTGAGAAAGGCTTCTACTGCTATATATTTTCCTCTCAGGACTGCCTTTGTTGTGTCCCACAGATTTGAACCGTTGTGTTTTCATTATCATTTGTTTCCATGAATTTTTTCAACTCTTCTTTAATTTCCTGGTTGACCCATTCATTCTTTAGAAGGATGCTGTTTAGTCTCCATGTATTTGGGTTCTTTCCAAATTTCCTCTTGTGATTGAGTTCTAGCTTCAGAGCATTGTGGTCTGAAAATATGCAGGGAATGATTCCAATCTTTTGGTAACGGTTGAGACCTGATTTAGGACCGAGAATATGATCTATTCTGGAGAATGTTCCATGTGCACTAGAGAAGAATGTATATTCTGTTGCTTTGGGATGAAATGTTCTGAATATATCTGTGATGTCCATCTGGTCCAGTGTGTCATTTAAGGCCTTGATTTCCTTGTTGATCTTTTGCTTGGATGATCTGTCCATTTCAGTGAGGGGAGTGTTAAAGTCCCCTACGATTATTGTATTATTGTCGATGTGTTTCTTTGATTTTGTTATTAATTGGTTTATATAGTTGGCTGCTCCCACGTTAGGGGCATAGATATTTAAAATTGTTAGATCTTCTTGTTGGACAGTTCCTTTGAGTATGATATAGTGTCCTTCCTCATCTCTTATTATAGTCTTTGGCTTAAAATCTAATTGATCTGATATAAGGATTGCCACTCCTGCTTTTTTCTGATGTCCATTAGCATGGTAAATTCTTTTCCACCCCCTCACTTTAAATCTGGAGGTGTCTTCGGGTTTAAGATGAGTTTCTTGTAGGCAACATATAGATGGGTTTTGTTTTTTTATCCATTCTGATACCCTGTGTCTTTTGATTGGGGCATTTAGCCCATTAACATTCAGGGTAACTATTGAGAGATATGAATTTAGTGCCATTGTATTGCCTGTAAGGTGACTGTTATTGTATATTGTCTCTGTTCCTTTCTGATCTACTACTTTTAGGGTCTCTCTTTGCTTAGAGGATCCCTTTCAATATTTCCTGTAGAGCTGGTTTGGTATTTGCAAATTCTTTCAGTTTTTGTTTGTCCTGGAAGCTTTTAATCTCTCCTTCTATTTTCAATGATAGCCTAGCTGGATATAGTATTCTTGGCTGCATGTTTTTCTCATTTAGTACTCTGAATATATCATGCCAGCTCTTTCTGGCCTGCCAGGTCTCTGTGGATAAGTCTGCTGCCAGTCTAATATT